GCCGGCGGCGGCAGCCACGACTGTGCCACGGGCATCGCCGTTTGCCCGTCGTCTTACTCTGAGAGGGTTTTGCGAACGTCACCGAGCACTGACTGGAGAGCTGTGATACCTGCACCCGGTATGCCGAGGCGTCAGGGGCGTCCGTCGCCGTAGCAGACGCTTGGGTGGCCTGGGGGTGCGCGCGGCCACCCGAAACGCAGTCAGTGCCGAGGGGCTGCGGCCAGGCCAGCAAGCCTGGTGAGGGGCGAGGTGTGAGCGGGAGTGCTGCGCAGGTGCGATGCCCGTGCAGGCTAACACGCGTGTCTGTTGTAGTATCTCTTCTGCCCATCTCACAACACCTCTGTGTCAGTTGCAATTCTCAGTTAGAAAGCAGAACTGTGCTTAGGGCAGGATTTCATGGAGAATAGCATCAGCAGGTGAGCCTTTTTAACCGTTAGAAACACAATGTCCTGCTCTGTGCACTTTACTCCCGAAAACTTAAATGTTCACTCATGGACATGCTTTTTTGATCTTGTTTCTCTTTTTTTTTTTTTTTTTATTTCCTTTAACCTTAGTCTCCAAGCTGACTTCTCTCAGTCAGCTGGAAATGACCTGGAGGAGCAGAGTTCACTTCCCTCCACTTCTTGTGCGAGTCCTGCACAAATCTAGACTGAGGTACTACGGGAAACCAGAGAAAAAACTGGATATGCCTTATCAGGTAAAGAGGGATAAATACCTAAGTTAGCACTTAACTAATAGTTGTAGGATATTTGGAAATCATTATTGCCATATAGTATAGGCACATCAAGTTAAGATTTATTTCGGAGATACTTTATATTAAAAATACTTTACATTTACATAAACACAGCCATTAGAGTAGGAAATGGTAAATGTGGTGATCGTATGTACAAACTTCAGGGAATGTATTTCAGTTACTATACAACTGAGATTTTTGTGAAGGAAAAAGAAAATATTTGGAGTTTTTGGTAGTGTAACAGCCTAAATGTTTCTGGTATTTATGCTTTGGAAGCTGGAGTTAGTCTGTCTTGTCCAAAAAATAAAGCAAACAAACTTCAACAATTTGTATCCCCTGATTCTCTCACCTAGTGACTTCCAGATAGATTGGTTTACTGTAAAATTCTTAATTGTTTTCCAAATATGTTGTACTTGTGATATTTTTGAGTAGACCTTCTTAGAAATGGCGGCAGGAGGTGTGGTGGGTTGGTCCAAGCCAGCAGCTAAGCACTCACCAGCTGGTCCTTTGCTCTCCATTGCCCCCTCCAGGGAGCTGGGGGAGAGAACTGGAAGAGCAAAAAAGAGGAAAAACCCTTGGGTTGAGATAAAGACAGCTTAATAAGGTGAAGTGGAAAAGGGGAAGGGGGGGGAAAAGGCAAACAAGTGATGGAAAGGCAGTTGCTCACCGCCTCTCACCAGCAGACCAGTTCCCAGCCGGTCTCTGAACAGTGGGTACATTGGGAAAACTAGCAGCCTGTTCTGTATCTGAGCATGATGTTACATGGCATGGAATATCCACGAGGTAAGTTCAGGTCAGCTGTGTCCCCTCCCAGCCTCTTGCCTATCCCTGGCTTACTCATTAGGGTGGCAGGGTGAGAAACAGAGAAAGACCTCGACATTCTGCAAGCACTGTTCAACGACAGCTGAAACATCGGTGTGTTAAAAACGCTGTTTTAGTTGTTTGTCTGCAACGTGACACAGTGGAGGATGGTACAAAGAAAATAAACTCCATCCCAGGCAGACCTTGTACAGGAGGGCAACACTTGACAAAGAGCTTCAATAACTCACATCAGTTCTTCTGTGGGGGGAGGGGTATGAAACATCGCAATTAAATGCCATGGTGTTCTCTTATTCCGAGTTTCCATTCCCTTTGCACATGAAGATAAATCTGGGTCTTTTTTTGGAGGTGCTTCTCAGCAGATGGTGTAGACCATACTTGCGTGGCAGTTCGTCAGCCAAGTTTCCAGGTATTAGTTTTAGAATCAATACTCAGAGCTGATTTAGCTCAAGAAGTTGGGAGACAGATTTTACATGCTTTTTGATTATGCAGTCCTTCCTTAGACAGTGTTGTGTGAATTATTGTTATTAGATAAAAACCAATGGGATAACAAAAGATTCCATGATATAATGGTTTACTGTCAAGGATGCATGGTTCTTGACTGATTAGGAATATTAGAATGAACATGTTGATCTGTGTCAAACTTGGAACAAGGAAAAGAGGATTTTAGAAGCAGCAAGGGGGAAAAACACACAAGGTGTTAGGTGTGACGTTCAAGAATGGAGAGTGGATGGTGGTATGAACAAAAGCAAATGATTGCTTGAGGCTGACAGATAATTAGATAAAATGACACATTTGAGAGAGCTGAGATTTTTTTTTTTTCGGTGGATTGCTACCTTTTAAGACAATTATAAGACTCTCAAATCTTTTTGACTGCTCGGTGGTAGATTCCAAGATTGCCCAGTTAAAAAAACCCAACATCTCATAGAAGTCTTTGTTGTGAGAAAAACTTCAGTGATAGTGGTTTGCAGTGAAGATTTTCTGCCTTTTTAAAATTTTCCTTGAAAATCCAACTTGTATTGTGTTTTGATCATTGGTTTAGCTGATGGTCCTGTAACATCTCGTGCTGGTTTTAGTTGGGACAGAGTTAATTTTCATCAGAGCAGCTGGTATGAGGGTATGTTTTGGATTTGCGCTGATAAGAGCACTGATAAGGCTGGTGGTGTTAGTTGTTGCTAAGGACTGTTTGTACCAATTCAGGGACGTTTTCAGCTTCTGATACTGCACCTGTGTCCCCAGCTTCTTTATTACAAGCAGTGGGGGGGCAGTGCACAAGCAGACAGCCAACCCAAACTGACCAAAGGGGTATTTCATTCCACAGAACGTCATGCTTGGTGTGTAAGCTGGGGGTGGGCCAGGGGCCATGCTGGTTAGTGGGTTGGCTTTCTCATTTGCTGTCTGACCCTGGTGCGATCTCTCTTGGGCTCTGTCTCTCGCTGTTTGGGACCTGGCTGGGTATCGGTTGGCAGATGGTGAACAATTGTATAATTTGGTTTATTTTCTGTTATTTTTATTACAGACTATTATTAGTATTGTTAGTGTCACTATTTTATTAATTTCTATTCAATTATTAAATTGTTCTTATCTCAATACATGAGCTTCCTTGTCTTTTCCTCCAGTCCTCCTCCCCCATTGGAGAGGGGGAAAGTGAGCAAGCGGCTGTGTGGTACTTTGCTGCTGTCTGGGATTAAACTGACACTTCTCAACTTCCAAAATACGTTATTCCTTCACAGATATTTTTAAATGTTATTCTTAATGCACCATTCTCTCTGATAAAGAAGAGCCTTTTCAGCATTGTTTCTTGTGCATGGTATTTCCACAACCTCCTCCAAAAACCATTGAGTGACGCTGGCGTCGTCTGACATTACTGAGCACTGGAAAGATAAGAGTTGGGGTTGGAGTAGTTGTGGAGGAATTATTTTCTGGAAACTGGGGCTTTCTTCCACTCCAGTTATTTAGTCCAAGTTTTGAAAGATACTCTCTATCCATTTGTAATCGTCGGAGAAATTGTTCCTGAGTTAAGTAGCTGATGCGTTATCCAAAATAAATACATACCAGAATGATGATACCTTCATCTTTTATGTATCTTGTCTGTTTTTCCTTAGGCTTACTTTGAAGTTGCTGATGGTTCAGGCATGATGTCAATGGTTTTGTGGAATTCATTGTGTCCTGAATGGTATAACAGTATGAAGGTTGGCACAGTACTTCTCCTCGAACAGTATGCTATCAAAAACAGTTACCCATTTAAAACACAGCCAACCCCAGGGGATTCACAGATGAAGAGATTTGCTACAATTGGTTAAGTATTGCAGAAACCTGTTTTGGTTCAATGAAATATAGCTGTAAAAAGGTAGCTCTTCATAGAAATAAAATAGAAAGTGCTCCATTGCTCACACTAATTGATATTGTCTATATCCTTAAATATTAGCTCTGAGAGGTGTCTTAGCATCCAAGTTCTTACTGTTCCCTGTTTGTATTCGCATCATGTCTACAAACTTTATTGCCACAATTCATTAAAATATTTATTAAATAAAGATCTAATACCTGGTTTCAAGTATTGGGGTCATCAAGACAGGCCTCTGGTACTGAATTTTAATCTGATTCTCCTTCCTGATTTAATGCAACAGAGATCATTGGTGCACTGCTCATACCTTCCTCCCTCCGGGTCGTTCACGCACAACATCACCTGATTTGACTTTAGATTTTAGTCTGTGTGGTCAAGGCTCAGAGCATCTGCAAAGCTCCACCGGATAACAAGTTGCATTGGTGACCGCTGTCTGTGCTGTAACAGCAGTGCCGTGGCAGCGCATATGTGAAGTATGTTCCTCGGCTACGAGAAAGTATTTTCTTACATGCAGGTGTTTAGTGTGACAGATATTCAGAGGAGCTGTGCTACAGAACTGCAGGTGCTGCAGTATGGCAATAATAGCCTTTTCAAACTGGATTTAGTAAAATTTTTTTTTCCTCTCTTACTTCTCTGAACATGAGTTCTTTCCCCCCTTTCTGCTTTTCTACTGAGAACAAAATGACAGCCAGCATTCAGGAAATTCAAGTAACTTCCTTGAAACAAGTACATATGCATGGTAGTGAGGGATGATGTATGTATAACTTATTAACAATGACAGTTTCCTAATGGGGTTGCTACAAGGGCACAAAAATAAACAATGTTTTCACTGCTAGAAGCAGTGTATTTTCTGCCTAATGAATCTTTTCAGACACTAAGATCTGTTTTTAAGGCAGTGTTTGTGATGAGTTGGCAGGAACGAGAAGTGTTTAGGCAGGAATGGAAGTTTGTGAGGGAAGCTGATGATGAGTACAAGCCAGCCCTGAAAGCAATTATAATTGCCACAAAACCTTTCTGTGGGAAAAGGACAGAATAAAATAGGCCTTATGAAGTGACTTTCTCTATGGGCAAATGCCATGTCATTTTAATGGCTTCGTTCACACTACGCTACTGATTATTGGAGTAGAAATGTTAATGAACAGATCAAAATGGAAAACTAGGCCAATGGGCTGTACGTCATAATAGACGTGTAACGGAGGAATTAAAAGTCAGTCCATAGTAAAGTGCCGTGGTGTATTTTCGGACGGTGAGCAGACTGTAGGAATTACTAATCTTCGGTTCATATCAGTGTATGTACAGTATCTTCTTTTCTCAGCACAAAGCTCAGAATTTTGTCTTCATATGAACTTGCAAAGCACATGACATTGTGCACTGATGGATCTTATGCCCATATATCCTGGAAGAAGAGAGTCTAAAGAGAACAGAATATCCAGAAAAAATTCTAGAGCAGTTATAAAATCAACTTTATGCAATTCCTGGTGCTTTTTTGTTGTTCAGATTAAATGAAATTTAATGCCTCGCTAATTTCTCGGTTCATATGGGCATATTTCAGGGGTTTTACGCATATTTCATGCACAATGAGTGCTCCAAAAGTTCTTCAGCTTGCTGGTTAAAGCAATCAATTCCACTGAATTGCTTAACTAATAATTACCTTTTTCATCATCTATTTCCAGTTTGTAATTCCATCAAATCCCTAGTCTCCACTGTTTCCTTACATTTTAGAGCATGTGGGGGTGAATGGTTGTATCTGGAAGGTTAAGGAGCTTCCCAAATTAAGAGTTCTTGCAAGACAGCATGCTGCTGGTGTACTCCTAGATTGTGAAGAGAGTTCTGTGTTGCTTGCTTCTGTTTGCAGCTGCAGCATTGTATGACGTGCTGAGAGGTGCTGTTTCAGGACCTAAAACCTGTGGAGCTTAAATAGTTATTACCAACACCTTGAATTTGACTGCTAGGCAACATATGCATTTCACAGATCACCTGATTTATGTGGTGCTGATGAAAACAGCCATTTTGAATAGCCTGGACTGATCTTAGCTTCCGAATCACCCCAGGGATAGTCCTGAGATGAGTATATGACACTCATATAAACTCAAAATGATGAAACAATTGATAAATAGTTTTGATGCTTGGGAAAGTTTTGTTTTCAGGAATTTTCTCTGAGCTACCGTCCTAAAACACCACATGCAAAACCATGATTATTCTCCAAATAAGTTTCTAGAAAGCAGCAGTCAAAAGGAAACCCTTAAGTAGAGGGTCTGATTTCAAGTATAACACCCTCCTAGTGTTGCAGCATTAGGGTGCAAGGTAGGATACACTTACGTAAATAATTTTTATGCATTATTTATACAAATTTAAGTACTTTTCTGGGTGCATTATTTGAATAATCCCTTATCCAAACCCAAACATCTTGTAGAAACTTCATCAGAATCTGTTTTTCATACCAGCCAGATTTGTCTTGTTACAAGAGAGGCAGTAGGCTACCACCTTGTGTGTTCTACACGCTGAAGCCGTTTCTCCTGCATTTTTTATCTGGTTGCAGGAGCCCTTCACTTCCCCCAGTGCTCCACCACGTTTGTTATTCAGCATCTAAACAGTCTGCTTAATAAAATCAATTTTTCAGGTGCTGTAGAATGGATGTGAGGAGGCCTTTTGTATTCCTCCATGGCATGTTTCTGTCATATTAGTAACTACCTGAACTGGTATCAGATGTGGAGGTTCTCAGAACTGGTTCTGTCTTCTGTTTTACTTCATTGTCTGCAAGTCAGTTTTAGATCTTAGTGACATTTGGGAAAGAAGCTGACATAAAAAGTACTTCAGATCTAATCAGTATGGTAGTATTAGTTTCTGTTGCTGTTTTTTAAAATAGCTGGCTGGATCCAACAGATCCTCTCAAGTGGGGAGTTGGAAGGGTTAACATTGCTCAGATTATAAAATTGTCTTGCTGAACACCATATCTGGATTTTGATAAAAACATTGTCAGGGGAATCAATTAATAATCTCGAAAGCAGCAAAACAAAGTTGGAATACTTCATTTAAGAAGATTTACTGGGATTTTCTGTGCTGGTTTTAAGTTTGGGTTTGTTGTTTGGGGTTTTTTTGTTCTGTTTTGTTCTTTTTTTAATTTGTATTCATGCCTTAAACGTTACTGACTTTCTTTTCTTTGTCAGAAATCAGCCTGAATGTTCGGGACCCTCCTACTAAAATACGTATTATTCCGGAAGAAATGGTTAAGCCAGAGTGGGGATTACCTGAGGTTAAATACCGGTTTATCACAAGGTAAAATAGAATTTTGTTGTTTGTCAAGCGGGAACTTAAATGTCAGTACATTGCACTGAATGTTAATTGGAAATGTCTTTTGAAAAGTTTCTGAGAAAGCTTCGTGTTTTGTTATTAACAACCAGCATTCTTGTTCTGTTTTGATTTTAGGTCAGAACTGGATGACTTACCAAACAATCATTCCTGTGACGTTATTGGTCTTGTGACATTTGTAGGAAGGGCTGAACGAACAAGAAAGAGAGGTTTTTCTACAAATATGACTTTCCACATTTCTGAAACAATTTTTAACTTTCTGAATAAATGCTGATACATTTTTCTTAATATTTGCTTATATAGAACACAGTGAAGACTTCTGGCTCTATCGCTGGGCACATGCCATTGACGGCACATCAGACCAGCCATTCATTCTGGAATTATTTGCAACTTCTCAGCCAGATGTGTTTGAGCGTATTCACCCAAGTATGCATCTCTCTGTAATACTTATTAATAGTTATTTTTAGTATTTTTCTTGTTGGTTGCTAATTTCAAATTCTGAGTATAATTGCCACTGAATAAAAAATTGCCAGTTTATCTCCTCAAACCGACCATAGCTGATCAGAAATTAAAGTTTAAAAAAACTACCCTATTTTAAGTAAGTGAAACCCTTACCATATTGCAGTCTGTTAGTCTGAACAACTGGCTGGGCCTGGGGCTCATCTGACCTCGTTCATTTCAAACAGAAACTGAAGTGAAGCACCTGGGGTAATATCTCTTGCATCAGAAGGCAGGTGGACAAATCTATTACTCCTTTTGTCCTGTAAATCAGTATTTTTTTGTAGACATTAATAATTTAAGAGGATTGGAGGAAGGGAGAGGTGAAAGTAGAAAAGCTTAATTTCTTTGAATAAATATTTTTTGACCAAACAGCAGTCATCACTCAGCTGTGTTAGTTATTGTATGCGAGCTGGGAATGACCACTTTCATACTGGGGGATCCTTAATTAGATTCTGAAAGAGCTTTAAATATTTCTTCTTGTCTTCTTTCTCTTCTCCTCCAAGCACTCATCCTTTGGTTAACCCTGGTTGGTGTCACCTGGGTTTTTTATATCCTGTGATGCAGGACCAGCTGCACAGCCTTGTTGAGATTACGGCTGAATTCATCTGGAGTGTTCTGGGGAAATGGCAAAGAATGACATTCCAGTGTTTAACTGAGATGTTAACAAAAGAGGGAGTTTGTACTCTATTTAGAAGTTTTGCAGTTGCATGTCAAGATTTCGTATCCTTTCCATGATTTTATGGTTTTTATCCTTAAGAAACACAACCATTTAATATCCATATTTCTACTGTTTGTTTCATTGATACCCTGCCCGATGATGTGTCTCATATTTTAGTCCTAATATGTATGCTGAAATGTCCTTGCACAGTTATTAAATAGAAAATTCAATTACCTTTCCATAATGTAATTTATAATGGAGGCTCAATACGTGCTGAACCATTTGTAGGGTTGAGAACTAAAATGGCTTGTTTAGAGCACTTAATAAAATTAATCCAGTGTGTGTTTGTCTTGACATTCTAAAATCAATAAAATACCAGGAAAAAAATTAAGGTTTTTTTTTTCCCTGCAGTGACATACTTGGTGTGTACACAGATGAGAGTGGTACGGGACCTCACTGAGAATCCTTCCAGCACGATTTACCTTACGACTTCAAATGAAAGTCAAATATTCATTACAGGTAACTTAAATTAGTTAGTTTTATGTAGTTCTCATCGTACTTCTTTGGAAAGGGTATTTTTATTTTACAGCAAAACAAGCAGTGCACAGTATTAGTTTCCCTGTCAGAAATTACTTTGAATAATGAAATAATGTTGCAAAAAGAAAAAGGCAAATTGCTTTAGTTCATTTTATATCTGTTTGGGTCTTAAATGAGAACTGCAGGTGCAGACCACTGAATAAGATTTGTTTCAGTTTGCAGCTTAGATGCAGGCTTGGTCAGAGTACAGTTTATTCGGTAAAACTGGCATTCAGCCCATATCTTGGTTTTAAAGTAGCCAACATTGAATACATACCTTGGCAATTACCTGTTAGTAACAATCTTTGCAGAACCCTGTGAAGGTTATTTTCCTGGTCTTTCCCACTAATGAAGCGGTTTCTGCTCATTTCACTGTTCTACATGTCTCTGTGAGAAAGTGGCATTTTGGCTAGTTTTTTTATTTCTTTCTGTTACTCAGCATTTGTCTAACTTGCAGTGTCCAGTGCAAGGGATTAGAGCTGCTAACTTCATAAAACACTGTTGACTAGTGGAAAGATGTCTTTTGTATTCTCTAGTCCAGTTTTTCTTAATTTGTTATTTCTGTGTAGCGTTTGGGATAGTTTTGCGATGCAAACAGGAGACAGTAACCTGCTTCGGTTTTGACGCCTGGTTATTTTTTTTTAAAAGGATGGCACAAGGGCCAGCCATACACCAAGGATACCAAAGTGAAAAACTTCATTCAGTGGACGAAAACACAAAATGAAGCCGATCAGATGAAGAAAACTGTCATTGGTGGCTATTACCCTTTTCCACGGCCTCCAGATAGCTTTCTGAAATACTGTAAAAACAATAAAGGTATCAGACTGTCAAATAGCTAAGACTTGTAGGCTTTTTTCGTTCAGTCTTCCTTTAGCTCCAAGTATTTAAAGCATCAGTTAAAAAGAATGCTGTTAGGATTAGTAATTACAGAAATTTGTCATGTCATTTCAGAGAAACCCTTGTTGCACGACTAAATGTATCGTCCTCATCTTACAGAAAGTGTCATGACACCATAAGCTGCAGGAGAACTGTAGCAGCTTACCTGAGCTACAGATCTGCCCAGAAGTTTTACTCTGAATATTCTGCTAATTCAGATTTAGACAGCTACACTGAAGCATACATTGAATTAGCAATTTCACCTGTAACAGAAATTGTGATACCTGCTAATGCATGCTAAAAGATGGTTGTGAGCTAGAAAGGATTATTGTTTCGTTTTTGTGACCAACAGGAAGGTTTGAAATTCTTCAAAAGTGTAATTTTAAATCATTTTAATAGTTAGTAACGAATTATCTTTTGAGTCTTGCGTGCAGACATTTCGATACTGTATTTCTTTAAAACTCGTTTCTGGAAATTTCGTTTTTGCAGTTGAAGCGGTTTTGAAAACCATAGGTGAAACGGGGAAGGAGCTCGAAGACTTGCACTACAGAGAACACAAGCGCATTGCCGTTCAGGGGATCATCAGTGCCGTACGGTACATCAGCTGGAGCAATGCAGGTGAAGAAGCCTCGGGATCAGAGCTTGCTCAGGTACAGCGGTGGAGACTGTCTGCTGTAGCACTTATGCAGCCATGAGCGTAATTAGAATGGAGGATTTTGCATTTGAGTTCAGACCTAGTTACACTGTCTCTCAATCGATCAACTTCGTTTGCTGTTTTGAGAGCAAAATTCTTGAAAGTCATAATTTAGAACTTTTAAGAAGACAGTGATTCAGTGCTTTTCTGAAAGTGTTATGACAGTCTTCTCTAAAACCACGTAACTGTTGAGAAGTTACTAATTTGACTGACTGGATAACCTGATGTAAATTGGATTGTGGGAGAGGCAGCTACTGCAGTGTGCTCACTGTCACTGATGAGCAGATAATTTCTGCTAGATATAACATGTCTTCCAGAAGGTGGGGTAAATTGTTCTGTTCTATTAAAAGTTACTTTAAAACTTGGAGATTTTTCAGTTGGAAGAGAGAGCTTTAAATGCTTTGAAACTCTTAAACAATGAACTGTTGTTGCAGAAAGTTACTTCTCCGTCTCCTGAAAGTTCTGCTGTGTCCAAAGAAGACACTGTTCACAAGGGAAAAAGCACCAGCCTTCAAAATAAAGAAGTTAAGTCTTTTCTGGGGCCACATGACAGTGGGGAACAAGATCAGCACCAGGCTCCAAAAAAGAGTTCAGTCAAGAGAAAGAAACTGCGCAGATTAAATGCGGATGCAGAACAGTAAGCTCTCGTCCTAAATATGTAGTGGGTCTTCTAAGAAGTGCGTACAGAAATCGGTTTGGGGCCCAGGCGATAGAAAATAGATAAGAAAGCTTTAAAAGCATATGTAGTTTAATTTTGAAAAGGTAGTTAGGTACTTTTCCTAGCACCAGGTGATGACAACTGTACTGTTCGGACTAATGAAGGGTTGAATAAAGCAGGCATCTGGTGTGCAGTGCTCTCTTCTGATTCATAATTATGTTACTTTGTTGTTAATCTCACAGATTTGAAATTAAAGTAGATAATACTTGAACCATGCATAGTTCAGTGATGTAGTTGTGGAACAACCAACAGTTACAGTGGAGTGAGGGGCTATGGCTTCTTCACTGAAAATGCAGAGTCAGGATCTGGTACGCCTGTTCCTTAATTTCAAACACACCTTATTTTTTTCTTTCTGGTTAATGGGATGTACTGCACGTAGCTGCGACTTGCTGTCAGAAAGGCAAGTAGATGGTGGTCACGTGCCTCACCTAAAGGCTCCAAATAACTTGTAGTACTGTGGCTCTGCTTGTGATGGGATTTCTTGAAATTGTATTACGTCTAGTCAGACATAGATGAAGGATACAGTCTGAGAAGGAAATGGAATAAGACTAAATAATTTGTCTGATACAAGCATTTTGAGTTCCAGAGTAAAATACCTGCTTGTATAAGATTGCCATTTGTTGCAATGTTTGTGCAAAATCTCACGTACCCATACTTAGTATTAAAAGCCAGGTGTATACATTGTCAGATTTCATGTTTCAAAATCTAGCCAGTCAGGTCTTTTGTTTTCCCAGAGGATTCCTCATGCTGTTAATGGTATATTTTTCTTCTCAACTTTTCACATCCGAAAGTCATAATGTGAGATGAAATACAATTAGGATTGAATGAAAAGAGTAAGAAAACCCTGCTGAATAGAAGTTCTGCCTTGGCAGTGTTACAACAAACTTGTTGGTGGATTTCCGTTCTGTAAGGAAAATTCCAGCATTTGAGTGTCTAAGGTTCATTCTCTCTGAAAGAAAAACATGCATGTTCTTTGCTTTGTGTATTCCCATTTAATTAGTAACGTAAACCAATGGTGAATTTCCTACTTTAAGGGAAACTGCATCTGTTGGTCCTGCATCATCTTGCTCCTATTTCACACGGTCTGCAAGAAGAAAATTTGGGTAAGTCATGTGAATTTAGTTATGTTAAATAATTGCAGTGATGAAACAAAGATACTCAAAGTGAACCTTTTACAGGTCAAGAGTCTGTATGGAAGTGAAGTGGAATAATAGATCAGGGTAACATTGAATGTTTTCTATTCACTTCTCTGCACTAATTCTAGATCAAATATGTTGGATTATTTTATTCTGAAATAGGATTTTGAGTGTGGTGTTAACCATATTTTTATGTTGTTACTAGTGCTACTTAGGGAATATATAGTAGTAGGGGCTCATCAGCTAAGCAGAGTAATCTATGTAGTCTTTGCTTCAAAGAGATTACAGAATTTAAGTAGGGGAGTCAAAGGTAGGAGTGAGCAACATAATAGCATTAATGGATTGGCTAGTGGTGGTTGAGCTGTGCATGCCCCTCGGTGCTACAGAGGTGCAAACACAGTTGTCCCTGAGAAGCCTTGGCTCCTTCCACTACATAACATTCAGTCTTTATTGAACTCTTTGGTGTCAGTAGCTTTGGGCGTTTAGGTTTTTGGCCGCAGTGATTTGGGCTTGTGTCATGAGTACGTATGCCCCTCAGTTGCTTGCTTAGTTTCCTTTTAGCACCTCTTCCCTCTGCCCTAAAAGAAAGAATCATGGTGCTAGGTGTATAGAAACAATAGTAATGATGGAGTTGATGGTGAGTTGCTGATCCTTCTGCCAGTGTTACTGCCCTACAAGCGTGCCCGTTTTCTTGAAAAACATTTCTTGGTAACTAATTCGCAAAACATTCTTCTGTGGGGTAAATGAGGCTCTTCTGCGCCCACACGTCTGTTGTTTCCTCTGGCCCTCTTAGTAGATAATGCGTTTTGTAGGGGAAATGGTTGCCGGGCTCTGCAGCCCATTCATTAAAAGCGTGATACCGGGCTTGCCGGTCACATCTCTGCAGGTGGTGCAGGGCTTTGCAGGGGCTTGGGGCACGAATGCATAGGAGTTGTTCTGGAACGTGAAGGATCTGGTTTGCTTTTGCTTGCTGAGATATGTTCTGTTTTTTTCTTGGGGGTGGAGGGTGGGAAGAATGTTTTCTCCCCATTTCTTAAAAGTGAAGCAAAAAGTTAAGGCATGTTTACTTTGTTCTCTGCTTTTCTCAATCCGCTACTCTCCTCGCTACCTGTGTGTCCGCTCTATGCCATTAGTGCTAGAACCCCAACTAAAGGAGGAGAAAATCTGTGTTGGATTGTGGAAAGCTCTTTCACTCTATATAATTAAAAGGTAACTTGTGTATTTCTGTAATAAACTGTGAAGTTGTGCTGAATTCTCCGAATTGCAGAAGAAAGTTAGTCTGACATACCTTGAATTTGCATTGTTTCTGTTCTGTTGCTTATAAGTAGCAGAATGTCAGCTCTCACTGGAACATAGTAATACGTTGATGAAATACCAACAGTAGAGGTATGTCTGAAGTACATATTCTATCTTGGAGTGTTTTGTGTCAAGTATTTTGTGAAGTTTTTCAGCCTGTACATTAAAATGTACTTTTAAGCATTTAATATACCCCAAAGTAGTTTAATTGATGGTTTATTGTGAATGAGGAAAGATCAGAATTTCAGAAAGCCTTATTCTTATGTGGAAGTGGAAAAAAACACAGTAGTTTTCTTATCCTTTTTAATCCTTGTAAGTTTAGCACGGCAGTGACCATGGCGTTGCTGGTGCACTACATGCTCACGCTCTGGACTGCTTGCTAGTAACTTGTCTGTACACTTCTATCCTTGCAGTTTCACCTCTAAATGTTTATGTAACTTAGACCCTTTCCTCCTATTTTCTCTCCCATCTGATGAGAGCCAAGGGATGGGGATTTTGTAATACGGGGAAGTTCAGCTTGAGGTTTGCACGACTGAAAGTTTCCCAGAATTTGGTGTTTCGTTCAGACCCCTTTTTCACATAAATTGGATTTTTTCAGGGAGAAATCGGTGGATATTAACAGTCAATTCGCGTAGCCTTGTCAGATCACTGTAGAAGGCTGTTTGGTTTCTGTTACTTGCTGCGGTAGATGCGCAGTGGTGGCATGACAGTTGGGCTGAGTTGATATCAAAATAGCCTATAAATAAGGCTTTTACCAGTTTTAGCAGCAAGTGGGATGTTTTGGTTTACTTTTTGAGGCACTTTAATTCCTTGCATCATTTGGGCATAGCTACAAGTCGCAACTATTTTCTTTCTTAATTTTTTTAATCGCATTTAGTCCCAGTGCTTAGGAGGTAGGTGTGAAGCGCTTATTTTCTACAAGTATTCATCTGCCATCTATTTTGATTAATGTTATTTTCGTTGACACTACTTTACAGTAAAATGACTGAAAAGGTGGATACCAGCGCACCTGGAAATCCTGGTTAAAGGTTTTTTTTGCAAATGAGCGTCTCTGAAAAGGGGAGTGCAGAATGCAGGATGGGAATGGCAAGTTTGGTGTGGCACAAGTTGTCATAAAGCTGGCAAGGGAGAAATAGGAATGGGTGTGTTTTGGTGCATGACAGCCACAGCATATTGCAGTTAAGTGGAGGATCTGGGTTACATCAGGTGGCATGCAGGCATACTGCCTGGCAAAGCAGCACATGAGCTAAGTTCGTAAGGGAAATTACTTCTCTATACACACAGCTTTAAGTTACATGGTAGAGCCACCTGTGTAGGAATAACATGGGCAGGTAGGGGAAATCATCCTAGCTGCGGATCTGTGAAAGAAGTGGAGGAAAATTGTGACAAGTTATTTACATGTTTCTCAGAGGCTCTACTAGCTCTAAATCAGAGCCTATTCACCTCCAAAACTAGACTATTTTAAGAGAAGAAGAAACCATTTCCATAGTATCAACTTGTCAGCAGTATGACTTGGTTTAATCCTCTGCTTTAGTGATGAGGGAAGTTGGCCTGTACCTAACCTGACACGTTGATTTCTGATCAACCCTTTCCTAATGCTGTGCTGCATGTCCATGTCTCTTGAGAAGTCCGAGTCTTGCAAGTGAGTTGGCATGAATTTTTAATTAGGCTCCTTTTGTTAACACTTTTGCAGATTTCTTCTAATGGCTTGAAAATGTATTGATATAGCTGGTATGTAGATGTTTAATTTATTGTTATGTATACACAGTAATTACTTTCCATGGTAGCTCTTGTGAAAGGAATTCATTCTTCATAACATACTGTTTTCATGGAAACATTCTTTTATCTAGGAAAAATACCATCGGAAGCACAATTCAATTACTGAATTATCATTTTAGAAAGAGACAAACTTTGCTACCTTTCATCAGAAAACAAAAACACCACTGCATAAACTTAGAGCTGATATCTTGCACATATCTTTCTGAGGTTGCCATGGACCTGAAAAATGCTTTGGACCACAAAGCCACATAGAAATGCATAAAAACTTTCATTTACCAACATTTTCAACACAGCTCTGCCCAGAAGCTTGGGTGGGTGCTGGGAAGCAAGTAGGGCCATGCTGCTTTAAAGTTCTCTATGTGACAGCTTTTTTTGTTTACAAATCTTGGTGGCTAAAACCTCGGTTGCACAGTTTGTGCTGCCTAAGTGAGGATTCTTTTGTGCCCAGAGCTGGAGATCACACGAAGGCCACTCCAGTACTTAGCCCACGCCATGATGATGGTGCATTTCCTAACATGTGCTGCATTCTCAAAAAACACAATGTATTTACTTTTACCTGTTCCCTGGATTTTAGATATTTTCCATTTGTATGAAATATTGACATGAAATTTTCAAGATATATTCTAGTATGAAATGGGGAAAAAATGAAAACAAACCCTGTAAATCCTTGCGGCTGAAATACAGAATGTCCCACTCACTAAACAGCATGTTCGTCTTTGATTCCTTTTTTGCTGTCTCTGTATTGCCCCTGTGTATTTGCACTTACAATATCTTCTTAGTAAACTACTTTGCTCATCTGGAATTCTAACGGTACCTTAACAAAGACTTGTCTGTGTCTCAGTTGTCTGTGGTGCAAGATAATCAAGACAGTCTTTTTCCTAAGTTTATTCAGACACCATGCTGAGTTCATAGTAAGAGGAGTGGAGAAAAGAAGTAAGGAATAAATGGGTCTAAGAGCTCGTTTTACCATGTTGTGGCTGCAGAGTATGTGTTGCATTTTTCTCCTGCATAATGTCCTAGGTAATTCCTGAGAGATCATTAGAGAATAGTTGCTCATCGTTAATTGAAAATCTCATCAAATGAAAGTATAACAAAAATCTGGTTTGCTCAATCGTACCAATTGTTGTAGCAGGGTCGTATATCCAGAGGAAAATAGATATTTGGAATTTCTCTATCCTTTGGGATTCTGGAGTGATGACACAGTTCCACCCATGAGTTGGTTTGCTGCTGCAGGGTGCTGACATGAATGCAGCAGCGTGCTGCGAAACCCTTCCAGAGCCGAGTCATAACCCGCTTGGCCCGCCGTCATGTTCAGCTTTGGTGTCACACGTGCTATTTCCGTAGGTGCACAGTAGAGGGCAACAAACTCTGGGCTTTGAGCATAAAATACTGCCGTAAGGCGAAGTAGTACAGCGGTTCTCGTCCTAGGGTCTTCAAAACTGGTTTACTGAGCGTAGTCGGTCGTTGTGTCAAGCTGCTGTATTGCAAGTCTCGTGATAAGAAACCACCTACTAGTGCTTACTCGCTCGAGCTTGTGTCAGTTATCACTAGAAATCTGTCAAAGTTTGAACTTTTGCTGCACAGTGTTTGAGGTTAAATAGGTTTTAATCTATATATATATACTCTAACTTTCTTTTTATAGCTTGGATGAATTTCCCCATGAAGATTTTGTGCAAGATAAAGATGAAGAGGCTGTATCAGACAGTTCACAGCACCGCACAGGTACGTTGCAAATAGTTGTGGTATTAACCTTAGGAGGCTTAAGCCTACTTCTTCTCTTCAGGTCCAAAACAGGCAACAAAGATACCCTTATAACCTTTGTTTGTCAGGGGAGCTCTTCTGTACCACGGGCTGCCTCAGCACCTAGGGAGGCACTGTGGCAACGTCTTGTCAATCCCACCCTGCTTGGTCGTGTCCCTGACGCGTTCCGAGTTCTAAAGGATGGCTGGAAGGACGGTGTCGGGCTGTTTCCCACTGTGGGGGATAAATTCTCGGTGTTGCTTTATAGAAGTTTTAAGTTCTTTTTGTACCTCAGAAGCACTTTGTAGCAGAAGACCTCATGTTTTCTGTTGGCACTTTGCTTACTGTAGTGATCTGCATGTGATAAAACACTCTCTCTCCATGAAGGTAGCCCCAAAGCTATGTGTCTGTCTAGTTCATACAAAAAAGGCAAATACAAGAGGTGGGAGGAAATGGATGGAGTATGCACGCCAGTAATAATACTGATGTTTAATTTAGGGATTTTTCTGAGTTAATTTTTTTTTCTGTCTTCCTCTGCAATTCAGAAAACCTTGTGTTCCATGCAGTCAGTTTCTTGATATCTATTTTTGGATGGGGGCAGAAGTCTACTTTGTCAGTTGGCATTATGAGCAGCTTGGTCTGTTTTTTATTTTATGCAAATATTTTGACATGTTATCCTCTTTTCACAGCTGACTGGATATATTTTGAGTCATGTGACTTTCTGAAAGTTCATCTACTACCAGCATCTCTCCCAGCATTAACTTCTGCCAATTTTTCTTTCTGTGTATAGCTGTGTTATACATCATGTTGTTCATCTTTGTATTTTGGCAAGGCAGCACTTCATCTTGCGTTAGCAATGACCTCGATAGGTTTTCTTTGTAGCCTTCTGATGATGATGTGCTCCACTGTACTGCTTTAAAGCACTAGGGATTATGGGTGGATAACATGCCCGGTTCAGGTGGCTACTCGATGGGAAGTTGTTTCACAGGAGATGAGGGAGGTAGAAGGCTATACTGGGAATATTTTGCAATGAGCTTTCTGGGAAGCTCAAAGGCAGGGTTTAACATCTGCCCTCAGAATTGGAAGTGATGGTTATATAAGCTTTTGTCATTAGCCATCCTCAAGCTACATGTAATAGGGAAGAACAACGGAGCTATCGTTGACTGTATAGCAAGAAATTTTATACCTAGCATATTCCTCAATGTAAGCATTTAGTTATTGTGCAAGGGGTGGAAAAGTTTACTTTCACTTCTACCCATTTTAAACTTGTTTTCATGGTTTCTGGCTATTCATTAAACAACTTCTGTACTCTCCAAACACAAGCCACGGTGCTTGTGTGGTGAAATAAGTCTTTACTGCAAGTCTAGCCTCTAAGGTTCCCAGTGTACTCACGCTCCAACCCTGCCTTAATTCATTGTGTTGTGTGTTTTGAATATTCTGCCACGTCTTCATAATTGAAATGTCCTAATGAAAATACTGCTCATCTAGTGGAGAAGTGATACGATTCTATGAACGTATAAGCAACTAATTATTTTCTGTGTTTATAATAGACCAAGAAGGAATGAGTGATACACCTGAGACTGAAGACACTGGAAGAACTTGTGATTCGTGGCAGAGTGACCTGTGGGCACAAGTGAAAGACAAGTTAATGAAATATTTGCATCATGGCACAATTTTCCCAGAAAGCATCCCACGTAAATTTGATTACGTGCACAAAGACTTACTTATGCAGCAGTACAACCTTCATCCAGCAGTGCACCAGCCAAAAGAAACCCGAAGAGATAAAAATATCAGTGAGTTTAAAAGTGTTACCGGCCTCGGGTACTATGAAGTGACAGTTCTGGGTAAGTGTTCGGTAGCTCGGCTTCAAAAGAAGGTTAAGCAAGAGCAGTAGAAGATCGTAGTTCTTTGGTGCGTTACCTTGAGACTGGCCTGAAGGTTCATCACAAACTGAATGGATTTCTCTAAATTAATCAGTTAATTCTGAATACTTTAAAAAAAATGATTGGCATTTTAGATTTTTGTTAGAGTCATGATTGAGGATGTTTTTTAACAGAAAGCTGATTTCTCATTAAGAATACCTTTAAGTGAAACAACTGAATATCTTGTTTCTAGTATCACTTGTCACAGAACTGCAGTTTTGTGTATGGATTTGTGTGTGTCATTTGAAGAATGTGTGTGGTCCTTAAGCTATTGATTATTACAGTGAGAGGTAGGTCCTGTTCACTAGTTCAAGCAGTCTGACATAATCAGGTACATTATTCAATTGCACTTGGTTATCAGCTGACTTTCCTGCTGGAGAGGTGTCCGTTGGAAACCAGCTAGTGTTCTTAAAGGGAAAAGAACAACTATAAATGCTTCTTTTGAGCTTTATCCTGAGTTGGTTTTTGAGTACTGTTGCTCCTGAAGGGCTTTCCTTCCATGCTAGAAAATTTAAGGCTGTATTTCAGCCATAAAGTGAGAGAAGGTGTTTGAATATTTACTGTCAGTAGAATCCTGGGACTTAAAACGTAATATTCAAGAGGGAAGTAGCTCAAGTACTGCACCACATGTTGCACAGATGCACTGGTTGTAAAATTAATTTCTCTGCCCTCGTAGCAGAGATAAAAAGGAGTGTGAAATGGCTTCCATGTTGGTTTAATATTTTCTGAGCTAACAGCACTGTTAGCCTTAAATCATAGTATACTCTAGCATTGTATGAATTTGAATGTGTTTATGTATACGTAAACACATACATTGAAATGTGGGTTCAGACATCAGTTGTTAATTAATGAACAAAGGGCAAGAAAATAAAAAGCAGTGCTCAGCCTGCAATAGCTTGTATTTTAAAAAAAGAGAAATGATGCATGACATTGCTAATGAGCTGAAGGTGAAGTTTTCTGCTAACTTAAATATTCTTTTCAACAGGTATAAACCACGACGTAGCAATGGATGTTGCATTTCTTCCACTGTTTTGTCCTGAAGATCCCCACTTGTTTCAACTAGCAGACATTCAAAACGACACGTTATTGTCTTGTATGAGTTGCGTGTCCACATGTCAGCAGAAGGCCGCTAGCAATGGAAGGCTGTCAAGTGAGACTGGCTTTCACTGACATTATTCATGTATCGTGTCTTGTTTTATCTTCAGTGCAAGAGTTAATCCTCTATAGAAATCTCTGCTATTCGCCTCCTTAGTGAGAGATGCTATGTGACCACCTTTAGGAAATAGATGGAAAAGTGAACCTGCAAGGCACTTTTTACTGGAGCTGTTCTCCTGCTCTGAAGATAGTATTTTAATAGCCAAACCGCAAACTCCTAAGTGACCTAGACAGTATTTGTTCATGCAAAATTGTACTGACACAGGAGTCAGTACGTGTGGCTGAGTGAGTATTTGGCCTGATCTGCTTTGGAGCAGAGTGGAATAACTGTCAGTCAGTCAACCCCTTTCACGGATGTCACTTGGGATAGCTCCTTTAACACAACCTACGGTGCCTATAAACTGAAGTATTTGCCTCCTATTGAATTATTTTTGACAATCACTCAATGGTTAAGCAATGCATATTTCAGCTTTTCCATATCTAAGTTCTTATGCTGTGATTTCTAGTGACTGAATTTACTCATAAATTCTACCTGCCCCCCCCAAAAAGCCCTCTCCCAGCAGGCCAGTATTTGATAGTTAGAGTGAGGTTTTCACTGAAAGGAAGCTGAGCGTACGCACATTACTACATGGGAAACACTTCAGTATACCTTTTTACTGTATGTATATTACAACACCTTTTCCTAACTTGTAGATGAAGTTGTAAAAGCAGCGATGGATCTGGATGGCAAACATGTTGTCTGCATCTTGGACGTCTGTCACTTGGGTGGCGATAAGGTGGAAGTCTTTCTCAGCAAAATCTACAAGACCGTGGAACCTGGCATGCTGGATCCAGTGTAATTTAATAACTTATTTTTCAAATCTATATGGTTCAGAAAGAGGGAAATAAAATTGCTGTAACTTGAATACACCCTCTACACATTGCACTTTTCTAGAACTAGCAGACACAAACATAAAACCAGGGTTCTTAGAGCAATTGTAATGGTCATCTGTGTAAGTGAGGACGATTGCTGCCTTTATTTTTCGGCAGTCTTGAAAAAGATTATAGAGTGTCTTGGTCGCTTATGTTCAAGAAGGATGACTGGGCAATACAGTGAGCTTATCTTCTGATAGGAGACCAAGGAGTATGATTGTCATCTCTCTTTCTCTGCCTGTGCACGTACATGCACAGGAGATGTATATATCAGGGTGAGAACTGAGAAGAGAGGCAGGTTCTCCCAGTGTCAGAGGCCACGCTCGCAACAGAATTAACTGTCTGTGGTATAAATTCAGGCAGGCAGTTAGAAGGATTTTTAGGATTAGCTGTTATGTTCTATAGTGATCTTTTAGAGGGAGGTACTAGGAGCAGCCTAACTGCTCTTCAGGCTTGAAGCTTACTGTGTTTGTGAAAGGAGTCGAATACCATGGTGCCTTTAGTACCAGGGACTGGACTCAGTCACTCAAAAAGCTTCTTACAGCTTTTTGTACCTGATCAAGGTCAACTGCTGTTTTTTTAACTGTCTGCTTTTGTATATACAACATTGAGTAGTGAGTGTAGCACCCAATATTTTTTAACATATTTTATTTATTATTAAGGTAATAATGAAATATTTTTAAGACTAAACTTTATTAGTGGAACTTGCTTCTAGCTTTGCAAGAAGAAAACTGTCTTTCAGGAGTGCTTAGCATGGCAGGATACACAGTTTGTCACACCATTAGGTTTCTCTCTGTTGATCACCATTGTCCCCTTCAGTCATAGCTGTATTCTGAGTACATGAAGGAGCTTGGCCCCTGTGGGAAGCTGCTACTTCCAAAAAAGCAAAAGACTAAAATTCTCTCAACTTGTTGCTGCGTACGAAGTAGCAACTGGCCTTTGCTGTGTTCAGCACCAACTCCCGCTTTTTCCTCCCATGCCTCAAGTCACTTACACAACTGGATCCTTAGGAAAGTATTCTCAAGCAGGAGCTAAATGACATTCCTATTTGACAGCTTGCCCTGGTGACTTTTGTCATCAAGTACTTAAATTCTGTACCCTAACTTCAGTGTCTGGTAATTGAAGGAGAAACCCAACAGTGTTATAGCACGAGTTCCTAGGCAACTTCGGATAAAAAGACTTAACATTCTAAAGAAACAGATACAATTATTCTGTCTCCCTAGTGTGGTTTACAGATTAAAAATGTATTAATGAGGACAGTTTAACTCAAATTGCACAGAGACTAGAATTTAATTAAATGTGACTATGTATTGTATGTTTATATTTTGTGTGGATCGTAGTGTTAGTTCTAGAGCAATGTTTGCCAACCCATGCCTTTCAGAGTAATTGCAACCTTGCTGTGGGAGGCCAGATGAAAACATACCAGCCCCAGGAGAGCAGAGTGTTGCTTGCAATCTGTCATTGTGTAATTTTGTTGCTTATGGGTATGTGAAGATGAGGGGCCATTGCTTTAGGGTGAGAGATGAGCACAAGCACTTCGTCTACCAAACTGAGCCATGCTGACTGTGTCAGCCAGTATTTTTTATGTAGATATACTTCAGGTCGAAGTCTAATTTTAATGAAACCATTATTTCTAAAAGCAATTTTTAAAGTAATTACCTTTGTGCAAAAGGAGTGATGTGGCTAACGCTGTCACGGAGTGGCTCGTTCCGTTGCCCTAGCCACCCCATCCATCCCGTGCAGCAGGAGCACAGCCGAGGCTGTTTGCCGCTTTGCACCGCCTACTACACCTTAAACACGTAGCATTAATCACTTCATCCTCCGTGTTAGGACTTCCTAACTCTAAAAGAAATACCAGAATAGTGTGCAACGTGCATAATATGCGCTTTGGACTTTAAGTGATTGAATTTTACAGAAGTGTTGTCTGAAATGTTTCACGGCAGATGCTAGGCAGGAGGGAGAGACCCTTGCAGAATGAAGTGCCAGTGTTAGAAGCCCAGGCTCCCCGTGTGTAGTAGAGAATATTAAATGCCTGTGGTGGAGCTGGAATTTGAATGCTCTGGGTCATTCTCTAGAAGCACTTGCCCCATCCCTGTAAGTGACACTGGACGTAATACGCTGATTTTGGTTTCTGAGGCGTTGCAGTGTTAATATATGGTTCCACGACTCTCCCTCCCTCCTCCCGGCCAAACCAGCACTGTAGCAGTGGGGCGAAGGTCCTCTCTGCAAAGAAACTACTTGCTGTTTTATTTCACTTGGTGTTTATTGACGCAAGTATAAAAACCAAAGTATTTTTGATCCCGAGTCTGTCAGGACATGGTAGTTTTGCCATGTTAAAGCAAGACAGGGAATCTTTACTTCTGAAAAATGTCATAGGAATTATCTTTCTTGCTGCTTTGTATTGCCACTGCTGAAGGTAAAATACTATCAGAACACATTCCTGTGTGATTCTTACCTACCCAACGAACTGTGCTCTACAGTTCTTAACTTTGCATGTTTCTTGTGTTTCCAGCATTAATTTCATGGAAAACCAGAGGAAGGTAAACTGTTTGTAGATAATGGTACTTTTGAGTGTGTAACTTGCTGAGTCGTAGATCTTAGGGGTAAGATCAGTATTGAATTAATGTGGTGTGGAACTAGTGCACCACTGAAAACTGGAGAATATAAATAAAGGAATTAATATATGTAAATGTCTGGGTTATTTCTTTCCGTTTCTTTCAATTTCATTTTCTCTTCTGGAAGCTGTGTCAGTTTTCCAAGAATCCCCTCCACAGTCATGTTTGTTCTTTAAAGGGAGTCTTTACGGGAACACTAGGTGGAGCTTCTGTCAAAATACATGCCAACTGCAGCTTCCCTTGGCTTTCAGCACTGTGCAGCACGGCTTCCGCGGAAAAATGGGAAAAGGGTCTTGATGGCTGTACAATTTGTCCCAGGTTTTCGCTGCAGAGTTCTCACGTAAGGTTTTAATTTTTCTGTTCTCCTACAGGAAAACGAGTTGGTAGTTGTAATTGCTATGGCATCTATCGCTGACTGAATTCAGAGGAGGAATCTACAGAGCCTACCCCCAGTAGTGGAGGGTTGTGCAATAATCGTTTCCACGTCTGGAAAGTGAGCTAGAGCGTGAAAACAGGCTGAAAGGGCTAGTTTGCTTCAGTTTAGGTGATCCTGCTTCTCCTGCGTTGGTATAAATCAGTGTTGAAACCAGCTCGTTAACAACACCCGAACAACACGGACACGAGTCCGGGCA